GTCACCATCGCGCAGGGCGGCGTCCTGCCCAACATCCAGGCCGTGCTGCTGCCCAAGAAGACGGAGAGTCAGAAGACGAAGAGCAAGTGACCCCGACGCCAGCACGGGGGAGCCAAGGTGCTGGCGTCCCCAGCCAAGGCTCTGTGCCTAGCCACCCTCGGGGGCTCGGAGGGTGCAGGCTGTTGTCAAGACCTGGTTCGATCTAGTGGGGGTGGGGGGGTGGGGGAGGCGTGGAGCCTGCCTGGGCCCAGGACCAATAAAGTCGGTGAAAACCACGTTGTCCAGAGAGCTGTGTAGTCGCGGGGTGGCCGGACCACCTTTAGAGCAGGTAATGGTCGCTCCGAGCCTTTGGTGCCCAGGTCCCCCTGGAGGCACGTGGTTTGTTAAGAGGTAGGCACGGTTGGACTCTCCACGATTATCTGAAGGCAAAAGAGAGGCAGCCATAGGTGCGCATACCGGGTGGAGGGTGGTTGGACCATTTTTATGCTTCCTTGAGCCGGGAGTTCACCTCCTGTGCGTGGGGGTGGGGAGGAGGGGGGAGGTGCTTGTTCAGGACCCATTTCTCGGAAGGAAACCGGAGGGCCCATCGGTCTCGGATAAGTTGTTTCTTCTTCGAACTTTCTCACTCCCCACGTCTTTCTAAGGTGGAGTGATTTTTTTCTGCCTTCGAAGGGTGCTTCTGATGACCTGGTATCGCTTTAAGACATTTTTCTTAGCCTAATGTCGCGGTTTCGGATTTCAGATGCTTAAGATAGGCTCGCATTTCTTTACGATGAAGAAAGCATTCACTAGTAATAGGTGTGATGCCGGAGCAGGAGTCATGAGGCTGGTCAGTCGTCCTTCCCCTGGCGATTCGTGTTGCATTAACAGTACGTCCTTTAGTTTTGGATTACGTTCTAGCCTGTGTGATTTTTAAACCATGCACCCAGGGTTCGACTTCAGTGTGGTCTTTTCTCCATCATGTCAAGCTCCTTTGGAAATAGAACTGGTTTGGTCTTTGCTCTTCTAGCAGAGAGAATCCCTGGTTTTAAGGAGTTATGATCACTCGACATATCAACACACACACAAAACCATCGAGTTGATTCTGAAATCACATGTGTTCCACCACCAGCCTGAAGCAGTGGTTTTCATCCTTCCTAATGCCGCGGCCTTTTCTGCAGGTCCGCATGTTGTGGTGACCCCTAACCATAACATTATTTTCGTTGCTATTTTATAGCTGTAATTTTGCTACTGTTATGAATCGGCTGACCCCAGTGAAAGGGTCGCAACCCACAGGTGGAGAACCGCTGAATGGCTTCATTTCCAGTCCCTTTAGAGCAATTCGATTCCTCACTGGCAACTCTAGGCATCCTATGTGAGGAAAGGTAAGGCGGTGCAGGGAGCCAGGCATGTCAGATCAGGAATCCATATTTAAAAGTGTAAACATGGCCCTTGGTTAGCACTTACATTTACCTGCCTAGCAAGCTTCATCTTTGCTCACAGGACCCATTTAAAAAAAAAAATCCCCAGTTTATATTTTATGCCTGGACTCATATTTCCTTTGAGTCCTGGTAGAAAAAAGTATATCTTAAGCCCTCCATATTTACCCAGCCTCAAGGTTCAACCCTAGGCAGGTTTAAAAAAAAACCCTAACCCCTCACCAATTCGATGTGTGATGTTTTGAAAAATCTGAATGATATATTGGCAGTTGAAAATGCATATCTCCTAGAAGATAAACTCATCCTTTTGATCCTTGAGAAGGAGTCCTGGTAGAGAGTGGGTTATAAATTGGACTGTTAGCCCCAAAGTCAGCAGTTCAAACCCACTGGCCACTCAGGAGAAAGATGAGTTTTCTGTTCCTGGAAAGATTTACAGCCTCTGAAACCCCAAAAGGGGCAGTGCTACTCTGTCCTATCGGGGTTCTACAAGTCTGCATGGACTTGAGGGCAGTGGGCTCAGTTGGTGGTTTGTTGATCCAGGGTGAACAGATGCTTGTCCACGTCACAGCGTTCATTTGAGGGCCAGTATTTCTTCAAGTAGAGTCTATCAGGAAGAAGCCCTAGGACTAATGTCAAGCACGGAATTCTGATGCTCGGTAGATCTATGAATCCATACTTTTAGACATAGACGAACCCACTTTATTGCCATAGCAAAGCCATTGCGGGTAGCAGGTTGTGACTTGGCCAGTGTTTGCATGCCCTGTTTTTCCTGTAGGGCCGGTTTTCCTTTTGTGTCTCTGAGAACTGGTTTGTTCGGTTTTGTCTGCTAAGCGTTATGAGGTTTGCCTTAGCCCCACCATTAGTGATGGCTGGCACAGACAGACTAGAAGTTTATGCAACTCCTCACAAAGCCATATTAAAATATAGAGCATCCCATCCCTTCTAATTGTTGAAAAGCAGCTACGTGCCATTTTGCCTGAGAGCTCCACTCTCTGGATTAAGACCTAGGTTCAAATTCAAGGAAATACTGAAAAGGAGGGCCCTAAGGTACCCAGGTTAAAGTGCTAGCCCTGCAACAGTTGCCTTGGACAAAAGGCGACCTTAGTAAAAAGGACAGAATGCTGCTTCGTACTGTCTTGAAATTGCATTTAGAGTAAATAGCAGTAGTTACAGGAACTACCCAAATCAGTAAACATGGCATTCCAGCAAACCATAAAATGAAGTCCAGGGTTTGACCGTTGGTACCTCTGTACCTAATAAGAGCTTTTGTCCTTGCTGTGTATGCCGGTGTCACCTGGGGCGTGTGGCGTGTGTGTGCCATGCAGGGATGGGAAAGGACAAAGCTCTCTCTCACTGTCCGGTACGACCGGCCTTGCTCTGGCTTGTTTGGGCTCCTTTCCAGGGGAGAAATCATTTTCCTTCTGTGGAAGGACAACAGGGAGACAGGCTGGAAAAAGGACAGTAAATCCCATTCCATGGTCAGGAGTCCGGGGGGACAAAATCTCCATCTTGCTCCCAGGTCAGTCCCCTGTGAGACCAGACTCCTGCTTTTAGGAAATACACGCTTGGACCAGTCTTCTCCCAGGCGCCCCCTCATCCACTCAAACGGGGTTGCTGCCCTCTTTCACGTCAAGGAAGAAGGCCTGACGGAGCAGTTGTTAGCACTTGACGCTAACCTTCAAGGTCAGCAGTTTGAACCTATCAGCTGTTCCTGGGAGAAAGATGTGGCACCCTTGCCGCCATGAAGATTTACAGCCTTGGAAACCCCGTGAGCAGTTCCAGTCTGCTCGAAGGTCACTGAGTCAGAACTGACCTCGCGGCCACAGGCTGGGTTTAGTCACCACTAGCCATCAGGACAGACAGCAGAGGAACCCGGAGAAGAGGTGGCCGTTAAGACCCAAGGGAGGTGGCACAAGTGGGAGAGCTGCAGAGCTACACCCCACCCCAGAATTGAGTCCCAAAGCTCCCTCCCCCCAGACAGATCCTTTGTGCATCCTGCGGGAAGTCAGGGCCGTGGTTAGGACATAAAGTGTAAAAGACAGAATGCCACTATTAAGTGTCCCATGGGTGCTTCCAACCTCAGCAAGGGCTCATCCAATGCAAAAATACAAGCCCCATAACTTAGAAGGCTTTGGTTGGGAAGACGGCTCTGGCCCTCAAGTCTCTGGCCCCGAGTCAAGAAAAGCACACTATAGCTACTTTCTTGTGAGTGGCCTTTAAGACAGAGAACGAATTCAGAATCCCGTTCATTTGTGAGACTGGGGGAGCCTGCTTTGCTGGGTTTAAGGCAGTGTGGACTTTGTGTATATAGACAGCCCTGTTGTTGCTGCAGCCCCCCTTTGCCTGCTGCACAGAACTCCCGAATCTGCCTACGTTCCCTGTATTAAAAAAAAAAAATCCTTAAAAAGGCACAAAAAAAATTAAGTCCAGTGACTGTTCTACTAATTTTAAAGGAAATTCAAAATCCATTTTAACAGAAAAGAATAATTAATGTTTACAGTATGTGAACCTGGATTTGTAATTCCCCCTAAGACAAACTGGTTTGTCTTCTTATGGCTTTTTAAAGTTAACTGTAGATTTAAAATAGAACTGGTTTATTCCCCCAACGTGTTACACCGTGTGGCGAATAACCTCCTATTAAGAAATTCAAATCTAAGGAAACGAACTCAAAAACCAAGCTCGCTGCCATTGAGTTGATTCCAATTCATAGTGACCCTACAGGACAGGGTAGACCTGTCCCTGTGGGTTTCCAGTTACTGTAAATCTTTATGGGAGTAGAAAGCCCCTTCTGTCTCCCAAGGCATGGTTTTGAATTGCTGACTTTGTGGTTAGCAGCCGGAGTCACCCAGGTGGTTATATTGCAGGCTGCCTGCAGAGGAAGAGAGGAGTTCAAGGAAGAGGTAATTGGGGCACCTGTGTCACTCAGCCTGGTGGAGACCCTGGTGGTGGAGATGACACCTGAGGTGGGTCCAGAAGTACTATCCTGACAGGACAAGGTGTTCTGGGTAAGGAAGCAGCCTGGACCGCTGGGAGGCAGGGAGGGAAAGAAGTGGGGTTGGGCAGGCAAAACCATTAGGGTCAGGCCTGAAAATCAGAATTTGGAAGCCCCGATTTAAAAATCACCAAAGTAGATAAAGTCAGCCGGGAGCAATGGACAGAAAGAACCTAGTTGCAGCCAAGGGGATATGCCAAGGATGTGAGCCACGGAGGCAGGAGATGGTTCCCGGAGGAGATGAGCGTCCGTGGGATGGACGCATTGTGACACTCCCCCAGGGTGTTCTCTTTTTTGTTTTAAGACTTTGTCGTGTGGCTTGAGGGTTCTTTGTTTCTTTTCCCCCACAACGGCAATGCTGACAAGTGCAATGCTGACAAGTGCGTCACTTCATTGAAGGCACTGCAACGGGATGCATTTTCACCCTTTCCATTTCGGCATTGCAAAGAAATACTGCGCATGTGCGGTGCGCACTGCCTTGACTTTAAGTCAAGAAGAATATTGGTAAAGAACTCTTATCTATATGTAATATGTAAAGAAACATCTATAGTTAACATTTAGTTGATTATATTTTTTAATGTATGTTTTTATTTCAAGCAAGTTTACTTCAAGATACAGGGGTAACTTATTCATAAAGCCAACACAGAAAGATTAGAATTTGTATCATGAGAAATTTGGCCTAAATAAACCATTTTTTAAAAGGATCAGTTAATATTTAGCTTGTGAAGAGACAGAATAAGAGAAATCAATAAATGCATCCGTGTGTGTTTGGAAACAAATTTCATATAAATAGGTAATTATCAACTATACATTTCTACAAGGAGAAAAAGATCTAGGGGTAGAAAAAAACAGATTTTAATATTATATACACTAAAAAGAATGACAGACAATAATTTGGTAATTTTATTAAGCCATATATTAAAAAGATAGCATTTAGTAATCCTAAAATTATGGAAACGGGAGGGCTGGGCCCTATGTTAAAGAAAATGAACTGTTTCCGGCAAACAAGACAATCTACATATAACTGTTTTTGTGCTTTCTGTTTTAAAACACTTCTCAAACTGTCGTGCTGGGAAGAGGGGAGGTGGCGCGGGGTGGGGGAATCCCCTCAAGTGCCCCTGTAATTCCAAATTCTCCTCCCTGAGGCTGCTACTGGGTCTGTCACATTAGTGTCCTCATGAGAAAATACGAAGGGAGCAGTGCTTGGCCTGCGAGAATCTCAGCTTCAGACTGAAAACTCCAGGAGAAATGCAGCAAGCAGCCTGTACTTGACCACATGCCTCATTCCTAATCTCCCGGGTTTGCTGCTGTGAGTCACCATTGACTCCCTGCCAGTGAGTTTGTTCATTTGTTTGCATCATCAGGCTAGACTAAACCTTTTGGGTCCAGGCTGATAAAATTAAATAACTCATTCTCAGGGGCACAAAGATAAGACTGAAGAAGGTTTGGAAATGGGGACCCCAAGTAGTTTAGCCTAGGTAGCTGGCCTAGTGAAACCTGACACCCTCAACCTCTGCTGGGCAGCTTTAGTCTGCCCTATGTCCATCTCTTCCTGTAGCCTTCTCCTCCTAGAAAGTACAGAGATACACATGTATGATAGATTAGACACTGATATGTCATTAGACAACCTGACAGGCCATAGGAGTAAGGGATGGAAGCTAAAAGCAGTTTTTTTTTCTGGTTTTAAAAAAAAATCATTTTATTAGGGGCTCATACAACTCTTATCACAATCCATACACACATCAATTGTGTAAAGCACATTTGTACATTCATTGCCCTCATCATTCTCAAAATATTTCCTCTCCACTTAAGCCCTCATTTTTCCCCTCCCTCCCTGCTCCCCCCTCCCTCATGAGCCCTTGATAGTTTATAAATTGTTATTTTGTCATATCTTGCCCTGTCTGATGAGTTTATAAATTGTTATGTCATATCTTGCCCTGTCCGATGTCTCCCTTCAACTACTTTCTGTTGTCCGTTCCCCAGGGAGGAGGTTCCTTGTACAGTAATCGGTTCCCTGTATTTTCAGTTCCTGTCTGTACCAGAGTACATCCTCTGGTCTAGCCAGACTTGCAATTCGAGTCATGGTAGTGGGAGTGGGGAGGAAGCATTTAGGAACTAGAGGAAAGTTGTATTTTTCATCGTTGTTACATCGCACCTTGACTGGCTCGTCTCCTCCCCGAGACCCCTCTGCAAGGGGATCACCAGTGGCCTACAAATGGGCTTTGGGTCTCCACTCCGCACTCCCCCCATCATTCACTCTGGTAAGATTTTTTTGTTCTGATGATGCCTTATACCTGATCCCTTCGACACCTCGTGGTTGCATAGGCTGGTGTGCTTCTTCCATGTAAAAGCAGTTTTTAAAAGGACAGCACACATCTGATATGACAACCTAAAAAAAAAAAAAAAAAACTCCCAAGGATCTTATTTTGGAGAAATAATCTTAACATTTAAGTCCTTCAAATATACTATAGGAACTCAACTCAGCACAAGCTGCTTATCAGCAATGAGTGGGTGGCAAAAGGAACAGAGTGTCAAGGGGTCTCAGATGTGGCTGTTGTTATCGAGTTGAGGGTCCTAGTTCAAGGTGATGTGAACTTTATCTGCATCTCAAGGAACCTGTGCTGCTGTCAATGCCCTTCCACCAAAGATCACCAGGAGCACACCTGTAATGGAACAAGCTAGGTTTATTGCTTTTTGTTGCAAGGGGAACACACACCACAGGGAGTTTCCTGTGTGAGATTTCTCAGTAAGAGTGTTAGAGAGCACTTACAGGATTCAGATAAGCATGAAGTGCATTATTTTGGGACTCTACTCTCGATTTCATGCTTTCAGGAAGTA